TGAATATTATCTGTTACTTCATTACTGAATCCCTAAATAAATCGGAAAGTTTTAGGTTTCGCGAACACTATGTTTCGAGGAGAGAATCAGGATAATAAAATAGAAAAAATCAATGCAAACTAGTAAATCAACGGAAAGAGCTAATTACGAAATGCAGACATAAGAGCAGATTCAGAATTACAGGCTTCAACGGGAGGTTTAATTTAAAATTAAACAGAAAAATGTACAATAAAAGAAAGTTGTGGGAGGAATATATATATATATTGAACAATAAAAAAAATATTAAAAAATTAAAATCTTCAGACACAGTGGGTTGTAGATTAATATTCTTTCGCTTTTTTTTGTTTTATATATATATATATATATATATATAATTTATTCGAAAATTATAACATAAATATGTTATAAAATCACTACAAAAATAGACATTTTGTTGCAACACTTCTTTGCTCTACTCTGTATTGAACACTCCTTTAAGAATAGTACTTTTAGTTATTGGAATTTATTTCATATACACCAGTCCTATACTTGGGTGTATATATATATATATATATATATATATATATATAGACACCGAATGTAACAGCAAAATTGTCCATTTGTTAGATTAAGTTTGAACCGTTGTATCTTAGAAATGATTAAAAAATTTATCTTACTGCAATTCTCCGAGGCTTTTATCACACTATGTGACACTAGTTTTGAGCAACAAGAATATATAATTACTACCCAAGCTTAACAGAAGAATCGTGATGAAATCGATCATAAACTAAAATGACGTATTCATCATTAATTAATCATAGCTAAGGATCGGACGCTCATGGAAGATTGAAATAAAATTCATATATATATATATATATATATATATATATATATATATATATATATATATATATATAAAAGTGTGGATGGTCCTGCACGAGGCCTTCACCACTATAAACAAATCTCATGTGCCGGTGTCGGGATATCGGTTCCTGGGGACTTATCGGCCTGACCCTCATACGTCGAACGCGACGGGAGAGTCGATTATATATATATATATATATATATATATATATATATATATATATATATTAAGAATGTCTCTCTATGTTGTTGATGTTCCTAGATTTTGTGCCATGTAACAAATTTAGGATTATTTTATTGTTAGAATTTTGTATCGAAAACTAGTAAGTACTGAACTTATTAATGTGTTGTAATGGTCAACCAATGTAAAATAATGTTAAATACCCATTACTTCACGCGTAAAGTGACTTCACTGTGTAGCATATTATTCTTGTATGTCCCGGAAAGGGATATATTTGATCGAAGTAGATAAGTGGTTTTGGCTACTATAACCAAGTAGTACACGGTAGCAGTAATCGACTGGTAATCGTCGTAGTCGGAGGTAATAGGTGTAGACGAATAGGATAGACAATGGCGTAGTCCAATGGGCGTCGTCATAGACTTAAACTCTGTCGTACCTACACGTCCGTCTGTATTTATGACTGACACCAACCAATCATATTCCAGTGAGGTGGAACTGAGGTGTATGCATATTCCATTTTATCAGATTCATACCCGGAAATATCAGAAATATAAATCGAATTTAATATTAATCAGGAACTTTTGATCTACGAGGTGTTGATCTGTAATTACTTCAGCGTGTACCGGGTTTCCCTATGAGATAACAAAGTAAGCTTTTTACTCGGTGTCACATCACAATGTCAAAAGAGCTATGCGCCTGAGAAGGTTGATCTAGAAGGCAACCCCACAGACACTAATTGGCGAATCGAGTCTCAAACGACAGAGTTGGGTCTGCTGCGATAAACAGGGTACCAACTCAGTTGAAGTTAGAATATACAAGCACATGAAAACTGAATGACAGGAAGTTAAATGAAGACTCAAACTAAAAAAAAAAAAGGGTAAGGCAAAGCATATCACATGTTCACGAGAATATCAACTCTTCGAAGAAATACCTGCAACTGCACAACTTTGATTGGGCAGACGTTAATTTAACGGAGTACATTGGTGAATGAATAATTAGATTTTTTTTACTAGCAGCATGGCCCGATGTTGCTCGTGCTTGATTCAAAAAACGTACGACTCGTACAGCAATCGCTATCACTTGACTTAAAATATTTTTGCCCTTCCTTGCCTTTAAAGGAGTGCCCTTTGCCGTGCTGATGTTGCTACATGCCTTACTTCTTGCCTATCTCACACTGTGAATTTTTTCTAAGCTCTATACTAAACATTAAATCTGTTATGAAAAAAGAACTAAACAAAACAAACAGCTTTAAAAAAAGGACTCGTAACTGGAAAAACCGAATAAAAAAAGAATGTTAACAACAAATACTTTTTCACACCCAACCCAATTCTGCGGAATCAGAATCAACGTTGAGTTTAAGCAAGTGAATCAGCCAATTGGAGTAAAGTGCCATGCAGATTTAAATTTTTCCCACTTGTGACGAATGCAGCTATCAATTTTTTTTTGCATGCTAGCATGCTAGTTAACATTCGTGTCAGTCAGCTGTTGGCTCTCACGCTGGCCAATAGAATCTTCCTGCCTATTCGTGGCAGCCAGCTACAGGGTCTCACTCTGGCCAGTAGAAAATGGCCGCAAACTACATGAAAATTGCCGTAGAAGCATGAAAAAATCGATTATTTCCACTATCGATGGGAGTTGGGAAATGCAAAGTCGGTCTTGGGCTTCCCGCTAACTTGGAGCATGTGCATATAAATTTTGGTGCAAATCCGTCGAAAATTGCGGCCGTGCATTCGTTAGACACACACACACACACACACACGCACACACACACACACACACACACACACACACACACATCCTGCCTTTTATAAATAGAGATTGATGAAAAAGATTTGTCTCGTACTCTTATCAGGCGTCACTAACATAACATTAAGCATGCGCGAACAGAAATTATTTTGTTAGTTTTTCTACGTTGGCAATTAGACAGTTTTAAGGGAGCTTGCATACTGTGTTATCTATAAGATTTACAGCGAATAGCAATTAATGTTTTTATTTAAACTTACGCCGAAAATTATTCGACTGCTGCAAAAAGCTTTCGTGAAAAATTCGGCATAGATAAAAAAAAATGTCCGACTGAAACTAACGGACTTGACCGAGAATCTGTTGATTACAATTCATCTTTTTCGGGAAATACTGCTTTTATGAACGGAAAGCATTCGGCAAACAGAATCTCAGAAAACGGTGAACGCCTGCAGGTTGCAATTAAAGGAATTCGGATAAGGACTAGAAGAAAATATCACAGTTAGACGAGAATCTGGTAATTCTTTGAAACTATCCAGAAAGTGTCCAGCGAGTTGAAATATCCCAACTGCCTATTCTTAATAACTGATGCATTTTTTTTTGCCGAATATTGCATCACCCCAGTCTGTTAGCCTCCCACAGAGCTACAATCTAGATCTGGCTTCATTCGATTTCTTGCTGTCCTTTAACTTAAAATCAACCTTCAAAGAAGATTTTAGATCGGAGGAACGATTAAGGAGAATGAAACTGTAGCATCTACCAAATTGGTTGATGCATGAGGACTGCACTCAAAAGAAGTCGGCGATTGATAGTGGGAGAATTGTAAAGTCCACGGATAATGCGCACAGTCCGGAAAGTATCCAGCCCTTAAAAATATCTCAACTATACATATAGTAGCTGTCGACTCACAAAGCGAGTATGGCAATCCCTGACATGTCTAGTCCATCAGTTACCCCCCTACAACCTCGCAACACTGCATTCATTTGTTTTTGTGAACGACAGTGGCTCATAAAGCCAGCCATCGATTTGAATTTCTTGTTGCATATATGTCATATCAAATCATCTCCGGGTGGTGTAAGTTGACTTTGATCATCATCACTTCTAATGTGTCTTTTTATATGTCTTGTCAGGCACGAACATATATATATATATATATATATGTGTGTGTGTGTGTGTGTGTGTGTGTGTGCAGAAAACGGTTAAAGATGATGGAAGCTTTTACAATAAAAAATAATATCACTTATTCACGCGACCACAACGTGCTGACTGTGTTCTGAAATGAAATCATTCTCATCGCTATATATATATATATATATATATATATATATATATATATATATATATATATATATATAAAATAAAAGTCTACATATTCAGTTAAGAAAAACAAAATCCTTGATAATGGCTACTAGATTAGCCGAAAGCACTCGAATA